TATATATAGTGTGTGTGTGTGTGCATGTATACCACGTATATGCAGGTGCCTACAGAGGCCAGAGGAGGGTATTGAATCCCCCAGAAGTGGGGTTGCAGGTAATTGTGAGCTATGTCACATGGGTGCTGGGATCCGAACTCAGCTCCACTAGAAGAACAACTAGTTCTCTTAAGTGCTGAGCCATCTCTCCAGCCCATCGTCATATTTTACTTGAAGAAAATGAATTTTGACTTGGGCATGTTCTCTCTGTATTTTGACATTACTATGAAAAAGCCATTGAGGAGGAGCAAGGGGAGGGTGTAAGGGAAAGTGTCTTGCAGAGAAAGTACAAATATTCAGTTACTGTTCTTCTATTAATAATCAGTGATGCCATTATTTTCTTTTCTCCAGGTGAAATTTTGTACATTACAAAATTCAGGTAGATTAGTAAAATATCTTTGTGACTTAGTGTGCACATTTTTAGGATTATGCCCAAGAATTCATCCCACTAGACAGGCTGTCCACTAGATAGTGCCAGAATAACCCTGCTCTGTGCAACAGCACTAACTGCTGTGAGCATGTGGAGCAGATGGGCATGCCTGTGATCAGGACTTCATTTAACACATTTGCCCAGCTGCTTCACACAAGTATCTATAGCCTGCCTGCTACCCAGCCTCTTTTTTTTTCGTTAATGTCATCTCTACCATACATTGCTAACCCATAATCTGTCCTACACTTGAGGATCATGGGAAGAAAGGGGATACTAGGAAATGATGCCATCTTTCAGGGAGACAGTGTAAATGTCCATGGTTGTAGACATTATCTCAATTGCAGAACTTTAGCACTCTCACTGAGAATAAACATGGCTTCCTTGGCCTTGGTGTGCTCCACATTTATGCATTCTTAATTTGAAATTAACAGGAGTAGACTGTTTTAGAGTAGACAGCTTTGCCTTTTTAGCCTCTGATTTCTATTACCATCAGTATACAGACATACTGTGGTAGCTCTCCAACACAGTATGGTGAACTGGCTTTTATAAATGTAAGGAAAAAAGGAATTTCAGAAGTCAGGCAGTGGTTTGGGTAAATAGAGGTAAAGATTCTTACTCCTGATATTTTTATTATTGTATTGTGTGTGTGTGTGTGTGTGTGTGTGTGTGTGTGTTTACTCAGGTTATCAGCTTGGAAGCTTACCCTCTAAGCATTCTTATGAGCCCCTGAGTCCTGGTATTTATGTGTATGTGTATGTGCCAGGTGTGTACAAGTGCCCTTCAAGGCCAGAAGAAGGCATTGAATCCCTTAGAACTGTAGTTACAGGTGGTTGTAAGCTGCACATATGGGTGTTGAGAACCAAATTTAGGTCATCTGGAAGACAGCAAGTGCTTTTAACTGCTGAGTCATCTCTCCAGTCCCCTGGTATTTCTTTCACTGTTTTCTCTGCAGTGAAAGTCAGGCAAACTTTGTGCACGTTTGTAGGCTAACTATGAACTGATTCATATCATTCTATAATTTCTGTCCTCAACCTAACTTCAGTCTCCTTACAATTCACTAGGTGATGAAGGTGGAGAATCTGAACTCCTTGGAGAGGATCTTCCACTGGAACCTTCCGTCACCAAAGCAGAAAGGAGTCACTTGATAGTGTGGCAAGTGATGTACGGCAGTGAGTAAGCTGTAAGGACAGGTGGAAATGGGGAGCTGGCTTTTCTGCATGGCTTATTTTCCCTTTTCCCCCTTATTTAATGCTCTTTTTGTGAAAGACATTTCACCACATAATGTATGAGCATTTTTTTCCTGTTAACTTTATATTACAAAATCTGTTCTGTGGTAACAATACAGAAGAACAAGCTAATTTACTGCACCAGTGTTAATAGGCAATTTCAGTGTATCATGAAAAAATCAAGAAATGTTTACTTTCTGCAAACTGGTGAATTATAGAAAGCCATCCAGATGTGGTTTACTCTGCCATAGTCTAATGTCACTCACTTCATTGATGGAGTCACTTTTTAGCTGTCACTAATAATGGAAAAAACTTAATAGATGAAACTGTACCATGAAGTACAATAGCAGTTTTCCCCAGTGTATTATAAAACTGACACACACTAATAACAGATGGATTATCAGGATTTATCTAAATGTCCCAAGAGGGCTAAAAGCTAACTGTAAATTGCTTTCACTTTCAAATCTGAAAAATCTCGTTTATATGCTATATGAAACTTTGTTTTCATCAGATTGGGGGGGTTTTATATTAAAGAAATTAAGGCTACACTATTTAAATAAAAATTTCTTGTTCATGTCTCATTAGAACTCTAAAGTTTATGAAGCCTGCTTCTCTAAATATTCTGGTTTGGATTTTTTTTTTCCCAAGACCAGTTTTATTCATTTTCATACATGTTAAAGAATGTTATTTAAAGCTTGGGAAATATTCTGGGAAGCTTAGAGGACACGTCAGTCCTAGAAGAATGTTTGAAAAGGAAATTGTGTTTTGCATTCCTGTACTAGAGGTTGGTGGTAGTTGACTCAGTTTTTTTCCATGGAAAAAATTGTACATGTTAGCCAAATATTCCTGGGCTGCTCTTACCTCTTAATGAGGGTAAAACTGTAGTGGTCATGAATTTGGCCTAATCAGCTGAATGCAGAATGGTTGGGAAAGTTCTTTTGTTTTGTTCTGTATAAAACTACCAAACCGCTAACACTCACTTGGCATTTTGGATGTAAATAACACATTTAAGCTTTTACACCCTTGTAAGCTTAAAATACCATCTTCAAAGGGAAATGCTGTGAAGGGAATAAGACAAAGCCAAGATTCCGAATAAGACAGGGTCAACATTATATCTTTTCACTCACAGAATGTATTTTACAAAGTGGATTAGAGTCTAGTTTTAACTAATATTCTTTTTAAAAACCACAATGCTATAGACTTTTTCCCCTCTCAAGCTTCCTGAAAATGTATGATTTACCATTTCTTATCCACTACTCTAAGCAATGTTAAATTTAGTTTTATGTGTTGTTTTTAGGAAACAGGTCTTCCAGTTATTAGAAGGACCACTTCAAAGACAGAGCAAACACAGGTCTCATTGTCTAAGCATTCTTGAGTACCAGGGATTTTTTTCCAGATTATATACAAAGATATCTGTAAAAAAGTGTTATCAGTGACTTATGCGTAGACTGTATGCGTATGGCTAGACCATAAAATACATGGGACTTAATGAGCCTGGGAAGCTTTTGCATCCATTTGGCCATACCTGTCAATCATCACCTTGGTACAACATAAAACTGGCCACTGTATGTTATAAAAGAAAAACCCTTGTTTTGTAAAAGCTATATACAGAATAATTTTTTGCTTGAGCTACTTAGTCACTTTCCTTGAGGGCACAAAACCTATACTACTTCTCCATAGCTTATTTGCTATGTCTTTGTTTTAAATCTAACTCATTTTTGTCAATATTTTTAAACTATTAAACATTTATTGGAAATGTAAAAATTCTTAAGGAGACACCAAAGTGTTTGAGAATTTTAATTCCAAGAAGTGTTCCAGAATCAAACTTCGTTGTCATTGTTCAGAAGGTTTTTTGTTTTTTGTTTTTTGTTTTTTTTCCCGGTCTTTTAAAGACAGGGTCTCCCTGTAGCCCCAGCTGTCCTGGAACTCGCTATGTAGACCAGGCTGGCCTTAAACTCACAGAGATCCGCCTGCCTCTGCCTCCCAAGGGCTGGGATTAAAGGCGTGCGCCACCACTGTTCAGAAGTTTTTTACATGCTTGTGTGACTCAGTGTCATTTAGAAAATCAGAAGCTAAAGAAACATGCAAACATGTTAAAGTGGTTATAATTGTTTCTTTTAAGCTTAATGGCTTTGACTTCACAAAATATGGGTGTGTGGTTATTTTAGCTAAAGACAGATTTTCTGTGGCCCTGTTAACTAATTTCAAGAACTAGAAAAGGCAAAAACACCTGTAAAATTTGTTTTAAAGTCTATGCTTACATTTATAATGTCAGTTCAATATTTCTACAGATGCTCCTCTTCCTTATTCACCCTATAATACATTTTTTGTTGTGTGATGTTTATTTCCATCAAAGTAACCTTTGGAAGAACTATCAGAATGTAAGCTTCTCACAAACAGCTTAGGGATGTATACTGCCATAGCCACCAAGTCATGGGCAGAGTGGAGGCTTGAATGCCTCAGAGGGTGGGCTCCCTATGTTTAAAAGATTTATGGGAAGACATCAAGGTGCTGAGAAATGTCACTTTGTTACATTTAGGTTATGTATGAGGCTGAACCATGTGAAATGACCAACCTGCAGCCTTTGCTGAGCTATAAAAATAGCAGCAGCATATGCCTCAGCCTGTCACTAGTAAGTGCAGATTAAAATCTCCATGAGGCAAAGGGAGAATATGTTCTAGGAACTCAGTTTTGAGAATATTTTTCTCTAACTCATGAATCTAAACTGTTAAAATAGTAATGAATCTCTTCAAAGTTGCAGCTTTCTGAGCATTTAAAACAGAACATGCAGCACATGACTTTTCAGATGAAATGTGTTTGCATTGAGAAGGTAAAATACACTGAGTTAGGCATTGCTCACTTCCTGGAAAGTGTTCCTAAATTTGAGAAGAGACCACTTAACATATGCTGCCTTTGTAACAAAATAAGGGATCTCACAACATTAACCATCCTAAAAAGAACGTGTCTTGCAAATGCCATGGAAATGATTATTTATTTCCTAGTGAGTATTATGACTGTTACCAAAGGACTCAACCAGATTTTGGGCTCTTCTCAACTGATCATGTTGGGAAAGGGACTCATTTGGTCCCACTTTGTTACATGGAAGAGAAGGAAATAAAAGTAAATGTTGAAATCATAAATGCTTTTCTAACAGGGTTCTGCTGTTCTGTAACACTCAATGTCTTTTTCTCTTAAAGTGAAATTTTAATAATTTGTCCTTTATTTCTCAATATTTGAACATATTTTAACTGTTTGTTCTAAATTTGTTTTTGTCCTAGACATCTTATCCAGAACTTTATTTGCCTCGTAAAATTGGGTTCTAGAGTGTCCCATTTACTGTCTCTTAGAGGCTGAGGCTTTGTTTCTATGAGCAAAAAGCTCATTTAGCAATGTAGTTATTTCAGTATTTATTTCTATTATGGAATCCCTGGGGTTCAGAATGTAACTTTGTACATGAAATATATATAAATATGTATATGAAACATGTATGAAGTCCAGTGTGTTTTGTTTTTATCTTTCTTGAGGGTGTAGACTTGGGTTTTATATGGAAGTCAATAGTGTGCTCCATCAAACATCATTTCTGAGGGTCAAGACCTTTGCCATTTGGCAATGGCTAAGGTGAGCATTGAGATGCTCTAGTCACACTTATTTGTTTGACTCATGGTTGCAGATAAGATGTGGCAACTGGGGCTGGAGAGATGGCTCAGTGGTTAAGAACACTTTCTGTTCTTCCAGAGGACCTAGGTTTCATTCCCAGCATCCACATGGCAGCTGACAACCATTTATAACTTCAGTTAACTCCGTTTGTAACTCCCTGGGCACTACATGACATGGATGCACTTATATACATGCAGGCAAATGTGTGTGTGTGTGTGTGTGTGTGTGTGATATATGATAAAATATATTTTTAAGCCGGGAGTGGTGGTGCACGCCTTTAATCCCAGCACTCAGGAGGCAGAGGCAGGTGGATCTCTGTGAGTTCAAGGCCAGCCTGGTCTACATAGTTCCAGGACAGCTGGAGCTACAGGGAGACCCTGTCTCAAAAAGACCAAGAGGTGGCAATGGCCAGGAGGGCATTCAGATGACAGGTCAGAGTGCTGAGTAAAACCTGCACATGGCCCTGTGCATGGCACCCACCAGATTACCCAGTGGTAGGAGGCAGGTTTGCCATGCTGATCTGAATGACGCGTAGGTTTATTTTGATCCGATGTGTAGAGCTGTACAAGTATGGATGATTATAAAGCTAATCCTGTGGCAGCACAGTGTAAATACATATTTAGTGCAGTAGCATTTAATGTGATCCAATGTGCTTTGCTTACGTCTTCAAGAAAGGTAGGTTTGGGGGCTAGTGATATGGCTTGATGAGTTAAAGACACTTGCTGCCAAACCTGATGGCTTGAATTCAGTCCCTAGAACCCACTTGGTGGAAAGGAAGAACCACTCACTGCAAGTTTTCCTCTGACCTCCTCCTCATGTATGTGTGCAGAGAGAGAACAGAACTGTAAAAAAAAAAAGATTAAAGAAAGATGGGATTTTTTCCTCTTGTTTGTTGGTTGGTTCTTGAGACAGGGTTTCACTGTGTAGCCCTGACTGGCCTCAAGCTAAGTTCAGGCTGCAACTGCTTGCCACTGCCTCTTGAGTGCTAGGATTAAAGAACTGCACCACCACACGTGGCTTTTTTATTAACATTGTTATTACTATTATTATTTTGAGACAAGGTCTCACTGTGTAGTCCCAGCTGGCCTAGAATTTGCTATGTTGACCAGGTTAGCCTCAAACAGATCCATATGCCTCTCCCTACCAAGTGCTGAGATAAAAGGCATGCCCCAACCATCCCTGGTTTTTTAAAAAAATTATTTATTTATGTATTTATGTATGTATTTATGTATTTGTTTTGGGTCTTTTAGAGACAGGGTCTCCCTGTAGCCCCAGCTGACCTGGAATTCGTTATGTAGACCAGGCTGGCCTTGAACTCACAGAGATCTGCCTGCCTCTGCCTCCCAAGTGCTGGGATTAAAGGCGTGTACCACCACGCCTGGTTGTCTTTATTTTTATGAGACAGAAACTCATTTCCAGAGCCTGGGCTGGCATTAAACTTACAATATTACAGAGAATGACCTTGAACTTCTGATCCTCCTGCTTCTACTTTCTGAGGGCTGGGATTATAGGCATGTCAGGGAGGGATTGAAGCCAGATCTTTGTGCATAGGCTAGCAGTCTTGTCAACTGAGTTCTATCACCAGGCCAATGGTGGGATTTTCTAGCATGATAAGAGATGTCACTCCAGGTGGCATGTTGACAGAAGAGTTCACCAGCTAAGGACATAGTTATCTGTCCAGTAAAATGAATATAGCTGTAGTCCTGCTTTCTCAGCCTGTAGGACCTTGCCTGCCCCTTACTCCATAGTGTTTGCAACATCGTGGTTTGGGGAACTGATTAATTCTGTAGAGTTTTGTCATCTTATTGATCCCACCAGTCACCAGTGCGGCTAGAGTGGCAGTAGAAGAGAGGAGACATTCCTTTTTTTTTTTTTCCTTTTTTTCTGAGACACTGAATGTCCTCAACGTCAGGTAGCTAAAATTCCTTCTGGGAGGTGCAAATGATGTTCAGCCCCCCTCCTCCCTTAGTCCCTACAACAAACCAAGGTACAATTTCGCCAGACTGCAGTCTGGGGAAACCAGTGAGTTATTGGGTTTACTTACAGAGCAGGGGCTGAGAGTTTACTTAAAGGAGTGTGGGTGCTCCCTACCTAAGGCCCACTGGAAAGTCTCCATCCTGGCATGGATTGAGACTTCCCTACATCCCTGAAAAATGGCAAGAGACCCTCCCTATGGCTTAGTTCCTCCCCCTCATGCAACTAGGGCCGCCTGGCTGGTTGGAAAGTGTGGCTGACTCTCCCCACCCTTCCTTTCTTGCTACGGTCAACAGGTTTGTGACATCTAGGCAAGTGGGTGCAACCAACGTTGGGAAGAAGGTGTCTGTCCATAGCTTGCTGGTTGGAGGACAGTCCTATGCAGCACATCACTAGAAATAAAACCTGCTCCCTGCCTCCAATGTGAGAACTCTTTCAGGCCTTGGTGGAAAGATTGTGCTGAAGCCCCCAGCTGGTCCTTAGCCAGTAGTCTGGTGTTCACTGTGAACAGGAAAGCTCTGACCATTGCACAGTCATAATTTTCAGCAGAAACCAACTTACTAGGAAACATTTTATAATTAGACTTCTCAAAACACCTCAAGAATTAGATAATACAATGTCATCTTAAATTCACTTTCTTTAGAGAGCTACAGTGCAATAGTAGGAGAGAACAATATGGACCTCACTTCTGTCTGGACTTTTCCACTACAGTGGCCTGAAGCAAGTCACTTTAGCATAATCCCCAAAGAGCTAGACATGGTATCTCACACTTTACAATCCCAGGACACAAGAGACTAAGACAGGAGGATTGTCAGGAGTTCAAGGCTAGCCTAAGCTGCATAGTGAATTTCAGGCCAGCCTGGGATACTCTGTCTCTAAAACCAAGCAATCAAATAAGAACAAAATAGCCTCCAGGATCACCCATAGAGAGGGGAGTCCCATCCCCGGAGCTGTGGTCCTAGCACCTGTGAAGTGCCCTGGGTGAGTGTGATGCAAAGCTTAGATGCAAAGATACTACTCTGACATCTTTGGACCTGAGTTCCCTCAAGAAGGGTGGTTTAGCTAGGTACACAGAAAAGATAAACTGTGTGGGGGTGGAGGGGACCCTCATTCTATAATCCTCTTTGGTTTTGTGGTCCTGGCTCTCATTTTCCTTGGTTTATTATCTATACAGGTACAGCCATACCCGTTGGCAGGGTCCAAGCTGCCCAATTCCCCATGGGGCCCAGAAAGTTAGTAGGTAGGATTGGAGTACTTAGAATTCCCAGTGTATCAAAATGACACTGAAGCCAGAGTTTTGCTCCTTGCTTTTTTAGCCGGTTTCAGGCAGCATAGTGGCTTCCACCCAGAGATGAAAGGACTTGAGCCCTCAAAGAAGAGGAGACAACACCCCTGACTCTGTGGGAACAGCTGTTTCACTCAGAAACTGTAATTCTCAGGCCAGCCCAGGGAGGGATGCCTGGCATCCCCAGGGAGCTATTTGCACTGTTTATTCCTCCTCCTCGTCTTGGGAGTATTGGACTCTACTGTTACTTGTGATAATAGTAACTGAGGTGATTCTTACCCTTATGTTGGGAACATCCGCTTACAGGAGTGACAGGAGCTCCTCTGGAGTTCCAGACATCTTGTTTCTCAGGAGACAAAGCTTCATTCATTCTTCAGTGGTTAGGACCTGTACACAGTAACTGAGCAGGCTTCCCCGAGGCTCAGTTGAAGATTAGGGTATTTTGAACTTGCTGCTACATTAAAAAGCTAAACACAGGGCTAGAACATTGACTGTTCTTGTGGATTCCTAGCACCCACATGGCAACTAACAACTGTCCATACTCCAATTATAGGGGATCTGATGCCTTCTGGCCTCCAAGGGGATTATATACATGCATATAAAAATAAATTTTTTTTTTTTTTTGGTCTTTTTGAGACAGAGTCTCCCTGTAGCCCCAGCTGTCCTGGAACTCACTATGTAGACCAGGCTGGCCTTGAACTCACAGAGATCCGCCTGCCTCTGCCTCCCGAGTGCTGGGATTAAAGGCATGCACCACCACGCCCGGCCCAAAAATAAATTTTTAAAAAGAACATATACTTAAAAAAAATTTAAAGGGTAAACAGAATATTTCATCTCATGGGCCTTCACTTGGCAAGACTATTTTCCTTACCATACCTAGTGTCATTTTCATAATATCGAATAGTTTTTTCAAGAATCTGCCCATAAATTTATAGGTGATCTGTGGAGAGAGTATTACTGTCACCACCTGATGCAGAGGCCTGGCCGTAGGAAGGGCTCTGCCCTTTGATAAACTGGTCTGACTGAGATGAGAAAGCACCTCAGTGGTTGGTGTGACCAGATTAACTGGATATTGAGGGTGCTGCACATGTGGTGGAAAACCTGGGTTTTCCTATCTTGTGAGCCTTCAGCAGCTACATAACTTGAGTTTCCTTACTGTGACGTGAGCGTATGCCCCATATAGGACTTGTGTGCAACAGCAGCCAGCACTCCTGGCCCCAGGCACTAAGCAACCGTCTTTGGGGTTCCCAGAGGTCAGGTGTAGGCAGATGACTAAGACACTTGATGGCAATGCCGACCCGGAAATGGTGGCTTTCAAGCAAGTTGCTGTATGTTCAGAGCAGGAGTTGAACACTGGTGGAATGGCATCCACTAGTAGCATGCTAAAAATAAGAGAAAATTTGACTGCAAGACCTGTTGGATACAGAATATTCTAATTTACAGTCTACTTATCAGTGTTCTGGGCCTTTGTGGTCCTGAGGGGAAGGTGGCTCCCAAGGAGGCAGAGGTACTTTGATCCTGTGAGATACTTTTTCTTGTTGCCTCCATCCCAAATTTAAGGAAAAAGGAGTA